GGAAAGGGGAGATTGCTTATTAAATAATTTTTCGGAGAAATCCTCTTCTTTTCCTTTTGGTTGGGTAGTTGGTCTTCGTATTATTCTGTAAATCAGGCTACTCGCGGTACCCTAAAAATTGAAATCAAGTAAAAATTTTGAAGGGAAAAGTGCATTATGGCAACAAAACGTACTCGTACACGTGCCCGTTCACGATCGCCAGAAAAGAAGAAACCAGTTGAGGGACATCCTACAATGACTGTTATGGTAAGTAATGAACCATTTATTTATTTTTAGAAGTTTGCGATTTTCATTTATTGAGTTATTCAGAAAAAAGCGTGAGCCTTCGCTTCTTTCAGTTTAGAAATGAGTCTGAGTTAATGGAAACGTGCTTTTGGCCAGTTTTGGTGTATCGTAAGATAAAGATAATTGACCAACGCACGGGCTGTCCGTGCGAAGATGCGTTTTTTGCATAGTTTCCCGCAGTTTTTGTTGCTACCAGCACCGGTTTTTTCGGCAAATGCTTCTAGCTAAAAGAATTTCAAACTAGCCGCCAGGACTGTCAGGAAACATCGCTTCAAAATTCCAGCCTTCTTGCTCCTCAGGTTCCCGAGTTAGCAGCTTACACGAAAAAATCTTTCACGGGCCCATGCGTTGGAATGACTCATACCCGGTGGCTAAGTTTGAGCTCATTAATACCTACGTGAATGGGGAACATTCTCTTAAAATTCCAGTCTTCTGGTTTCCCGGGTTCCCGAACTATCAAATTATCCGAAAAAAATTTTCACGGGCCCTACGTGGGTACCACTCATACCCGGGGCTGGGTTTGAGCTCAATAACATTTAGGTGGGCGGAGAATATCGTCTTAAAATCACAGTCTTCTAGCTTTTCGGTTTTTCAGTTAGCAATTTACTCGAAAAAAATTTTGACGCATCCGTGCGCCGGTACTACGCATACCCGAGGGTTGGGTTTGAGCTCATTGAGACTTACGTGAGCGGGGAACATCCCCTTAAAATTTCAGTTTTCTGGTTTTCCTTGTTCTCGAGTTAGCGACTTACCCGCAAAAAATTTTCAAGGGCCCGTACGTGGGCAATATGCAGGTGAGAGCACCCATTTGGGGATTGGGGCCCGTACGTCCATGTAAATCAAGTTCCCAAAATTTCAGCTCTGTAGCTTTTTTAGGTCTTGAGATGAAAAACCATGACAGACACACACACGGACACACAGACACACGGGCAACCCCTCGTCAATATGCGTTTTCTGCATTGCATAGCTGAAAAAAAACATAAAAACATGAAAGTTCGTCTTGATCCTACGAGCCACTTCTTGTTTGTGTGAATTTCCTAAAAATATAGTGTGGTTTTTTCTTAAAAATTTTAGCATATTTCAGGAGTTTTACGAACTTGAAGATCGTGAAGCGCTGTCAATGACAATGGAGACATTGGAGGCATCGTTTCTTGAACATTCTCGAATACTCAGGCAAAAAATCACGGATCTGTGTTCTCCTTCGGCTAAAGTATTTGCATTTTTATTTATTGTATTACCTGGATCAATTGTATTATCGTCCGGCTATCTCAGTATGCAGCTGGCAACTTTTTCACTTGCTCTGCCCAATATGTCATCGCCTGATGGCCATTCTGCTGCCGACGGAAATGTTTCTTTTGTCTCCTGCAGGGAGTACCAACTCAATCGTTTTTTTTTTTTTAACAGAAGCATTTAGCACGGCTTTGGCATTTGTGGGATATTCTTGATGTGTGTTGAGAAGCAGTATCTGGTCTCGAGCGTTTTTACCGTTAGATCACGGCACTTTACCAACTAGGGAACTTGCAGGAAATCAGGAAACATGCACGAATTGATTTGTTTTGAATATTAATTTTGTTTTGTTTCAAACTTTTCTGTAAGCCTCAAAAATTTTTTCACTGTTTAAACAGAGTTTTCTTAAAAGTTCGTAATCGGGACTATTGTTCATTTCTTGAAGGGATGGAGGCATTCGGGAGTAGCATGATAGTAGCACATTACCGATAGCGACGACCAGCTGGCACAGTGCCCGATGGGTGCATTAAAAAATTTCATTAGAAGCAAGCTGATGCTCCCAGTTTCGATATTCTGGCTTGTGCTAGTGGCAGTTTAATCGAAACTGATTTTCACACTTGCGAAATGAAATGCTCCACTTGAGCGGAAGTAGTAGCGTAGCATAATTTCGCTAGCAAAGAAATAACATAATTATTAAGAAATATTGAAAACTACTCAGTAAGGTCATTAAAAACTGCGATATTCCTTTTTTTGCGTTTTTTACATCTATGCAATGCAGAAAATGCATATTGACGAGAGGTTGTTTGTATGTATGTCTGTATATTCGTCTGTAACGATTTTTCATCTCAAGACCTACAAAAGCTACAGGGCTGCAACTTTGAGAACTTAATCTACACGCATGTAGGGACTCTCCTCCCCAAAATGGGCGTTCTGACCCGCGTGGTACCCACGTACAGCCCCGTGGAAGTTTTCTTCGGGTAAATCGCTAACTCAGGAACCTGAAAGCTTAGAAGACTGGACTTTTAAGGGGATGTTTGCCGTCCAGGTAGGTCCTAATGAGTTCAAACCTAGCCCCCGGGTACACGTGGTTCCTATGTACGAGCCCGTGAATGTTTTTTATGAGTAATTTACTAACTCGAGAACCAAAAAAGCTAGAAACTTGAAATTTTGAAGGAATGCTTTCTGATAGTTCTGGCATACAGTCTCAGTTCTTTAGCTGGAAGCATCTGCCGGAGAAACCAGTGCCGTTAGCGACAAAAATTTGTGGGGAACTATGCAAAAAAACGCATATTCGCACCGGCATTCGGTGCACTGACCATTTATTTTTTTTGCAATAATCTCATCAAGAATTATATGAAAGAAAAATATACATTTTGTGCATTTCTTTTGTGTAATTTTACACTTTGATGTATTTTTAATGATACTTGAATTAGTTTTTCTCTAATGTACGATTTGTGTTTTTGAAAAGTCAGATGTGCAAGATATTTCTGTCTTATTTTGCAGTCTGAGGACATGGTGAGTTTCGGTGAAGCTTTGCGTTCTCGGTTCATTTCGCTGCGACGACTGAATCGTCTAGCGCAATATCGCAACCGGAAAATTCGTGACCAAGTGAATCAGGAAAGAGCCGTTGTTGAGGAGCGGTACTTGCAGCTGCAAAATATCAAAAGTGAAATTGAACATTTACAAAAAGAAATTGAACGGTGCTATGATTTCAGGTGAATATTTCTTCTGGAATTGTGATGGTAGCTGATAGTAAATGAAAAATTGCTCAAATCATGTGTTTCTAAATCAATGTTAAGTAAAATCGGCT